TTGAATTGACCATGCAAACTTTCAACAAGAGCTGCTATAGGTGCAACCTTTTACCATAGGGTGAGAATTTTACCACATAGAAAAGTCCATGTGTTCACACGGGCTAGAAATTTCCGCCAACAATTAGGACTTGTCCTACTAACACTGCCCAATTTGAAGGGGAGTAATAACGCAAAAGCTCTCAAAATGGAACCTTGCACAATCAATGCAAAGAACAAAATGGAAAGAGCAAAAATGAGGCAAGGACAGTTGGAAATTCGATGCATTTGGAAAGAACTCAAATTGAGGAAAATTAGCAATAAAGTAGCCGTTGGAGATTTTTGCCCTGTTAGAATTAATGCACTTATTTTGTCAATCTTTACAATTATTTTCATTACTTAAATCAACCCATGATGTAAATCTAAAAATATATTATAAATAATAGAAACTCTCTTTCTCTTTTCACCTTGAGAGAGAAATTTCATATTCAAATTCTTGTTTAGATTGATATGTAGGGTTGGTTTGATTTACATTGTTCTTTAGTTTGATACATTGATTATGAAATGTAGAGCTAATGTTCTCCAGCTGATATTTTAGGCTGCAGGTTGTTATACAAATATGTGAATAAATAGACTAATCACCGACGATCTATTGATCTAAATGGAAGAACTTCGGTTCCCTTGAGTAAAGTCTCAAGTTTGATTATTGTAAATAGAGAAACAGGCGAAATAAGAGCTTCCTATTTATGGGATTTGATATGGCTTGATTATAAATTAATCGGGGCTCAATGCGATTACCGAATACTGAGATATTAATATTAAAAAAATAAGTAGACTAGTCATAGCAATGAAAATTTTTATCATTTTGGAAAATCTTTTACGGAGTTACATGTTGGCAGTTAAATTGCATAATAAAAGTGATGTTCAGGCACTAAAATCTCTAAAATGCCCTTAATGAATTCACATGGAGAGCGATATCATTAAGGGTACAATGGTTAGGTCAAAACCTAACTGAACTTTTTTTATGCAATTTGGACTAAAACCACATTTTTGAATCTTTTAATGAAAAAAGGAAAATTCAAGACAACTTATTATTAAGAATATCTATATATTCAATCATGACTATTATATATATATATTTATATATGAAACATAATGTGAATTTTAACTTTATTAAATTCATTGTATTGTGTTGCTATTATTGGATAGTTTTAATATTTTTAATTAATATTAAAACACCTTAATTTTTGCTTTTCTCTTCTTATATACTAATTAATGAATTTTTCGTTCACACATCTGCATTGGTTTTCATCTGCCACGATAGAAGGCTTCACCTAAATAGCCTACCTTCATAATACAGTGTTGCTTTTCTTTTCGGCCGAATTAATAATGCAGTTTGAGGACGCTCGTCCTTACATGTTAGAACTTTCTTTTTAGAATTTGGCTGTTGCAAATGGAATGTGCTTCAAGAAGCCAATGCGTTTATATGAGGAAGAATACAAGGAAGGGAACGAATGGAAAAATGGAATCTCTTCCCTTTCCTTTTTAATAATTGCCAAACTTCATTTGAATTTCTTTCTTTATAAATGAAATCCATCGGTGAACAAGGAAATGAACCTTTAAAAAAAATATATATATATAGTTATACAAGGAGAAATAATTTATTTTATTTATATATTTTGTAATTTAAATTTAAAGTTTTTATTTTTATTAAAAAATATTATTATTAAATTATTTAAATGGTTACAAATAAATAAAAGATTGTAAACATAATATAAAAAAATATTTTTTAAAAAATATATCTTTTTGATAAATATATATTTTTAAAAATATTTACCAACATCAATCCTTACATGGTGACATGTCAACACTACCTAAGGGCACATCACATTGTGATTTGCAATATATCTTATGGCAGGTCACTTCAATAATCTAAGGGCCCATACCCCTTGATTGGAGTGCCTGTGCATGCCCCTGGGCCCTTGGGAGCTAATGTTTTGCATTCTTCGCATGAAAGGATCACAAAACACTTTTTTCCATGATTGTAATTTAAGAATTTATATATATATATATATATGTGTGTGTGTTGGATTTGCAATGTATCTTATGGCAGGTCACTTCAATAATCTAGGGACCCATACCCCTTGATTGGAGTGCCTGTGCATGCCCTTGGCCCCTTGGGAGCTAATGTTTTGCATTTTTCGCATGATAGGATTACAAAACACTTTTTTCCATGAGTGTAATTTAAGAATTCATATATATATATATATATATATGTACGTGTGCGTGTGTGTATGAGATTTGCAATGTATCTTATGGCAGGTCACTTCAATAATCTAGGGACTCATACCCCTTGATTGGAGTGCCTATGCATGCCCCTAGCCCCTTGGGAGCTAATGTTTTGCATTCTTCGCATGATAGGATTACAAAACACATTTTTCCATGAGTGTGATTTAAGAATTTATATATATATATATGATACTAATTGAATGCTTACTATAAATGTGGCAGTTTTTGATCGGCTTATATTTTACATGAAATAATTATATTAGATCAGACTTATCAATTTGGTCTAACTTTGAAAAAACTCTTACAAAATACTTAATAGAGTTATATACTTATAAAGTTTGAAGTTTTTAACTAATGAGGAATCTTAGTGACAATTTTTATAGTTGGAAAGCTATTCCTTCCAACTATAGCTATTATGTTAGCTTAGCCACCAAGGTATCACATCATGTTAAGTTGTATCAGTATGAATCATTAGGTTGTGTCATCTGTAGAAAGTTAGAAGACATTGTCCACTTTGTTTTTTATCTTATGCACATGTGTCCTACTCGTATGAGACACTACACTTGTCACTTATACTATTTTAATAGGTAGAGAACTTATTACGTATGAAATTGGGTAGGTCTACCCACTACGTAATGAATTAGGGAAAAAACTATAAAAAGATCTCCACTCCAAAAAGGTAATTCATTTTGAGTCCTTCTTTTCTCTTAGACTCCTTCCTTCCTTCTTCCTCAACATATCTTGCTTGATTTAAACATTGAAGGATGCATGCTAAAGAAATCTTTGGCGCTTGCCCTAACAATTTTTTTCCTTTTTTGAGCACTTGCATCAATTGCTCGAAAATCTCTTCCAATTAGTATAGGCAACAAAATCAAGAATAGCAATATACATCAAATAATTGATTATATAATAAAAGATAGTTTTTTCATTTACAATCATTTATCACTCATCCAAAAGTTCAAATTTGAAACTTCTAACTTAGAAGTTTCAAATTCTTAAGGACGATATTATAAGGATAATTTTTTTATACTACCTTTTGATATAACTTTTACATGTCATTAAATGAATAAATAGATTCAATATCATGAGACATACATAAATAAAAAGAACCAATCATAAAAATGATACATCAAGTTATATAAAAAAAAAAAACAAAAAGACTGTTCCAAAATCATTTCCCAACTCTTAATTGTATAAACATCCTTTAAGGACATTTCATATAATACTTAAATAAATCTTTCTTATTCTTTCCATTTCATATAATACATGCACTTATCCAAGCCAAAGCAGCAGCTAGGGCAACAGCTCACCATTGTTGGAAAAATAAAAGATTACCCTCTGGCATACCTTAGGCCCCAAAAAAAAAGGCCACCGAAAAGATAAATTAAGAAAAA